CCTTCCCTCCAGCTAACACTTGATTTTCTCTTGTTCCCCCTTATTTATTTTTGTTCTATTTTTTTGTATTGTGCATGTTATAATTATGATTTATGTCACTCTTTGTATTATTTTATTCTTTAGGCCAGATGGGCGGGGTATAAACCAAACAAACGAACAAACAAACAAACAAATAAATAAACAAATAAAGCAAGCAAGCAAGCCCACTTGCCATGACTAATTCAGCCAGAAAGAACACCACCCAAGCAGAGGCTGCCTTTCAGGAACTGTCAGCAGAGTTAACCACGAGCCTGGCAGAGATCCATCACTCCTCTGGTTGTTTACTACTTTGCCACATGGCCTCTCATCTGATTCCACTCATGCTCATCTGCGCACTCCGTATCCATTATGCAGGCAAGCATCCAAGCCCATTGAACCAATTCTTAAAACTTAAGAATCAGAAACAGCAGGTTGAAAGTTTAGGATTCTGCCCCCCCGCATCATCCTCAGTCACCACATACAATGGTCCCAGAGGGTGCATGGTGCAGTATGTTGAGGTCCAGAGGCTATGTATCTCTAAACTTAAAAAAAAAAAAACCTTAAATTTTAATTTCCTCAGCCTTCTAAAATTCCTGCTTCCTCAACTTTTCATGTATAAACAGCAAGGAGAATTCTGCAGACGGCTTGTTCATGGTGCCTTCAATAATGTGTTTACTCCGTCAGTGAAGTGAGCAACGTTCACAAGAAACGCTCCTCAATTAGAACAGGATTTTACAGTTAAATAAGTTCTAACTTGAGGCCTTGCTGGACTACACAAAGGCCTATTCAGTTAGGCATGTTGTTGTATACAACGGTCAGATGTCTCAGAAGCCATAAGCAAAGCCCAAAAACAAAATACAAACCATTTTTAAAAATGGTTTTTTATACGTACAGAACTCTACTGCTTTTATGTAATCATCGTGGCTAAACGTTCAATATTATCCTGTAATTCTCTTGGCATCTTCAACAGTCTTATCTTCCAGCTTCCTAATTCAGACAAATCTTCACAAAGGCTGACCTGATTAAGACAGTCTTGAGATCAACCTGATGGGCAAAGAGGACAATGTCTTTGTCTAAGTTTTGCTCCCAGGTTGTGCAATGCGCTGCCTCAGAGTTATAATTAAATTCCACCCTCACTACTTCAGGAAGGGTGTGAAGACATATCTCTTCAAACTTCCCCTTTAAAACTGTTTGTCCAAAGAGAACTGCATTGATCACAACCGTATTGTGCTAGACATTTTAATGGTGCTGCTGCTCGCTTGATTTTTAGTTTGCTTTAAAAGGTAATGTAGTGCAGTGGACAGAGTTTTGGGCAAGGAACCCAGGAGACATGGGTTCAAATCCTCACTCAGCCATGGAAATTCACTGGGAGTGGCACCAGTAAAATCATTCCTTGAATATGCCATGTGCCTTGGCTTTCCTGCTAGGGCCACCATAAGTCAAAAGTTATTTGCCAGCACATAATACGCACAAGAACGCTTGCAAGGTGCCTCGAATGCTATTCCTAATTAGAAAAAGAGGGTAGAAAGCTAAATAAATAAAAACAACTCATTAAAATGTTTACAGAAACCACACACGGACTGCACCCTTCACCGTAGATCCTGCACTGAGCATGGGAATGGTCTAAAAACCTCTAAATCACAAAAAAAGAGGGTAGAAAGCTAAATAAATAAAAAACAATTAATTAAAATGTTTACAGAAGTCACACACGGACTGCATCCTTCACTGTAGATCCTGCACTGAACATGGGAATGGTCTAAAAAACCTACAAATCACAAAGAATAATGAAGCTGGAAGGGGCTTATAAGACCAACAAGACTAACCCCCTGCTCAATACTTCCAACTCTGCAATTCTATGAATATACAAAGGAGCAAATAGAACAGTCAAATCAAATGTCACCAGATATATTTGGGAAGGCTTATTATGCAGGACTACGAAAAAGCTCACTGACCCATGATTATTGCAGAAATCTCTGTAATGCCACTGATGTAACAGCTTCTGAAGATGTACACCCATAAGAAAACAAACCCTACGCAAAGGACTTATAAAAGTGTTTTTGAGATACAGGTGTGAAATTGTTTCTCCAAGATTTTTACAGAACCCCAGGAAAGGAAAGCCAGGAGTTGTTTTTTAAATCCAACCAGTAAAGATTCAACACATTAAAGTTCTGTAAACATGCACTCATTTACTGCTTTAATTCAAGACATTTAAGCATAATGCCTGTAGTAGGCAACCACGAACGGACGATGACAGCGGCCGAAGAGCCCATGATAACCAAGACTCAACCTTCTGTAACAATCTGTCACAATCCCAGGAAGCTGAAATTTCTCCTGGCAAGGAGGAGCGTGGCCTCCACCTTCCTACAGAGAAGCCACCCATTTCCCTGCTCCAAGTCCAGCCCCATTTGACTAAATTCTAAAGGATTCCAGCTGTTTCTACTGTATCCAGAAAAGGACAAAAGCCGATCTTGCAGCCATAAATACTCCATTCCCAAGCCAACTACACCAGAGCACAGAGCACATCAAGAAATGTGAAGGAACGACTGGAATATTTGCTGCCCAAACAGGAACCACTACCATTTCCTATCCTGCAGTTTGGCCCCTTCAATTGAGGAAATGTTTGCTTTCCCTTTTTCATGGCAGTTTGAGACGTTCGGCATTATGGAGTTCCTTACTGACCTGAACAGGTAAACTGCAAGATGCAAAGCAAGAAAGCCAGCTGGCATAGTCATTCGTATACTGGACTAAGACTTGAGAGATCTCAGTTCTAGTCTTGACATGAGCCTTGACCTGACCTACCTTCTGGGACTGTTGTGATGAAAAAGTAGTGAACACGAATTCAAATCACTTTGAATTCATGGGAGGAGATACAGGAGATGGTACTAACAAAGGGAAGACAAGAGGCATGCTGTTGGACCTTAATTCTCATTGGTTGTTGTGAGTTTTTCGGGCTCTTTGGCCGTGTTCTGAAGATTGTTCTTCCTAAGGTTTCGCCAGTCTCTGCGGCCGGCATCTTCAGAGGACAGCACTCTGTGCTCTGATGTAGTTGGCTTGGGAGTGGAGTATTTATGGCTGCGAGATCGGCTTTTGTCCTTTTCTGGAGATGGGTGATTAGTGTGTCTTGTTGTGGGTATATTGTTGTGATAAAGAGCAGAGATTATCTGTCATTGTGATTGATGGGTGTCATTAGCTGGCCTTTTGTGTGTAGTGATCCCCGGTCCTTGTGGCTGGGTAGAGGTCATTGACCTTTTGCATGCTGTATTTTTGAGAGCTGGGAGCTCTCATTCTTTACTGTATGTTACTCTGATTGAGACGAATTTTACCCCAAGAACAGCAGCAGGACCTCAATGAAGCCATAGCACCTTTCCTCTGGGCAAGGTTAGCTATTTGTTAAAACACGTATTTCTTCCTTTCTGTCCTGAAATCATATAATCATGTCCCCTTCAGCCACTAAGCAAATCTATCTGTTACATGCCTGCAAGGCCTGGTGTAAGAGAAAGCCTATTTTCCCCAACATGGAAACCAACAGGTGGTTGCAAACACTTCCTGTTGTCATACTTGCTCTCTGAATATAGCAAATTTAGATTTGAGAAAACCCTCTTGGTCAAGTTGACTTCAACCTTACACACTTGCCAGCAAGTACTGTATATCAATTCTAGTCACCCAAACATCCCTTCAATATGGAATGGCAATGCTCATGCAAGGGTCACTTTTGCCTCCAAAGGTTCTATTTCATCCCTTTGCTACAGGGATTATTACTCTATGTCATAAAATTATTTCTCATTTCTGCACTGGTGGGGGCGGGGAAGATCAAACCAGATGCCCTAACAAATTCCCAGATGGGCATAATCCAAGCAGACGCTCCAGTTTTTCCACAGACATCCAAGTCTTAGCTGAAACAGAACCTTGCTTAATTAAAAAAACAATAGAAAAAAGGAGTAAATATGGTTTGAGCCATTTAAAAAAAATTTAAAAGCCTTGTACTTTCCTAGGCTTACTGTGGCATAATCAGGTGTGATTAGAGCACAATTCCAATGTTTATACAGTTGCCTATTTTTACAGTACTTTGTTTCTTTGCATTGATTGGGCAAGTTGATTTGGGACAGTTTGTGTTTGCAAAGGAAAGGAATTGTTCTAATTCAAATGTTCATGCATTTGTGTCGTAAGTCATCACTTGCAGGCGAAACGATTCAGTATCTCATAGGATATCTACTACGCAGCCCATAGAAATGTCTATTCAGGGACACACACACACACACTCCAATACACGTCCCTAAGACCAAAACAAAACAAAAGGACTAAGAATTCGGAGAGCAATTAAAATCCCTCCTATAAGAGGCAGCAAGTAACAACACACAAGGGATCAATTGTTTTGAGATGAAAGTAAAACAAATAAAGGGATAAAACCGACCACCTTCATATGGGGACGAGAATGGGAAGGAAATGAGCATCAGTGCAGAACCGCGATGTCCCAGGAAATTATGGGATGCCAGGAGGGAGGAACTGGAAGGCAAAGCCCAAAAAGCTTTGGGGAAGACGACCAAGATGAGAACAAACTGGATTTGACCCCCGCCCCCTTCCTGAAGGGCAGAGGCTGGCAACCTGGAGGAAATGGGGAACGGGTACCCATCGGCTGCGTTCACATCCCTTCCCCTCCTGGCTTGGAGGAAGAGGCAGGCGCTGTCCCTGCCACCCATCCCGCCCCTTCATCCCCTTCACAACAACCCGACCAGGTAGGCTAGAGCCGACGAAGAGGAAAGAAGCCCTGGCTCTCCCAAAGCTTGAGACGAACGTCTTTCCCCCCCCGGCGCCTGCCCTCCGGAGGTGCGGCACTACCACGCCCATCGCCCCTGGGGATGATGGGTGCTGTAGTCCCACGCTTGCGGAGAGCGGGAAGCTTGAAAGAAAGGGGTCCGTTTTCGTCCTCCCGGCTGAGAGGAGAGAGAAAGGACCGGGAAAAGAAGGGCAACTCCTTCTCTTACCTGGACGAAGAGCCCCTAAAGATGCGCGCAGGTGGTTAGGCGGACCCTCCCCAAAACGTGTGGGGGAGCCAATAAGGGAACGGGAGACCGTCTGAAGTGTGTGCACACACACACACGCGTGACGCCCCCGCCTTCTTCTTCCTCCTCCTAAACAATAAGGGAACGGGAGACCGTCTGAAGTGCGTGCACACACACACACAGGCGTGACGCCCCCGCCTCCTTCTTCCTCCTAATCCTTCTTCCTCCTCCTCCTCCCCACGGTTGCCTCGCCAACAGAGCACCGGACGCGCACAGAGAGAGAGAACACCCACGCGACTTCCCTCGCTTTGTTGATGCCCGGGCAGCGCCGCCCCGGGGGAGACTTTTATAGGTTGCCAGCCCTCAGAAGCCACGCCCCTCTCCGGGAGGGAGGGTTGCCCCTGCCACGCCCACCGGAGCGCGAACTCCAACCGGCTCCTGCTCCGCCTGGGCGCCCCGCCCCTCGGCCTGTAGCCCCGCCCACTTTCCCCTCCCTTCTTTCGTTCTTTCCCCCCCACTCCTTTGCCTTTGGGTGGATGGAGGGCGTGCAAGAGGTGCTGCTCGGGATCGCTAATGGGAGGGAGCGGCGGGTTGGCCACTGGTTTCGTGGGGGTGGCTATCTTTCTTTTTCTTTATTTTCTTTCTTTCTCTCTCTTTTTTTTTTGCAAGCGGGAGAAAAAGGAAAGACCGATTCTTTTATGCACGCTGCGTTGTCTTAAATCCACATGGAAGAGGAGGCAAAAAACTTTCATAGACCACTGAAAGGAAAAAAAAATCAGATCCAGTAATCTGCTAGCTTTGGTGGATCGTAGCCCACTTCATCCGCAAAGCGTCCCAAGAAAAAAATTAAAATGAATTTTCCTAGACGTATTTCTTAGGCGCAAGTTATAGGATGCCTTGGAGGCGTGGCTGCAAAGTTTCAGCGGATGATTCAGTCCCTCGGTCTCCGGCCGTCAGCCTCTGGGAGCGGAGGGGAGAGGAGGAACCCTGGCTGACCTGGGTGGGTTTACTCCCGAGTAAACGCACAGAGGCATTGCACCGTGATGGGGCGAACTCCAGGAGGCGTCGCTTATTGGCGGGGGGGGGGGGGGGGAGCAAGGGAAAGTGCCCTATTTCAATTCAGTTGCGGACAACTCCCAAGTTAAAAAAATCATCATCTTAGAACTGCAGATCTGGGAGGGACCTTGTGGATCATTGAGTCGAGAGGACAACTGAGGTTTTTCAGGTGCAGCCCTAAATAAATCGACGCAATGGGAGAAGGAAAAATGCACGTGTTGCATTTCTCTTGCCTCTTTCCCTGCCTTGAATACAGCATTTCTAGTTACCTCTATACCTGACTCTCTGAGGAGCAGAGAAAGTACAGTGAACCCCACGCCCCTTAATCCACTGGACTAGGGGTGGATCTTGTGCACACATACACAAACTGGAGCTGGACACGACCTAGGATATTACCTCCAGATCCGGAGGGTAGATGTAGCTGTTTTGATCAACGGCTCAGTGGCTGGTTTCTTTGAGGGAAAGTATGCATGGTTAACCACAGTTCATTAAGTGATACTCAATGCTATACATTAATTTAGCAAGTTCACTAACCAGTAAACAATCCTCTTTCGTGCTCCCACAATTTTCTTAACCATGAGAAATCCATGGTGTGACATACATTGCTGTTCAGGGGCACCTCTTGTGCAGTTCATGCTTCAAGTATACTAAAGGCCGGCAGAATCACTAGTAATTTTTGAAAGTTTTTTTGTTGGCAATTGCCCTCGAGATCAACATCATCAGAGCAGTTTCTGAAATGAACGAGCAGATCTGGTGAGAGCAAGAGGTTTTGTTTCAAAATGTAACCCCATATTCCTTCGAGTCTTCATGTTTTGATCACTAGTAATTTTTGAAAGTTTTTTTGTTTTCCCCATATTCCTTTGAGTCTTAATGTTTTGTTCCCCTTCTAGTTCTGGGCTGGCTGGATAGCTCAGTGGTGGAAGTATCTGGCTGCGGAGCCAGAGGTCGGGAGCTTAGTTCCCCCACTGTGACTCCTGGGAGTGTAGCTTTGGGCAAGATCCCCGAAGATCCCCCCCCCCCCCCGGAAGAAGGAAAGGGTGAGCCGTTTCTGAGTATTGTCTATCTAGAAAACACTGGAAAGGGTTGGCAAAAGTCACAATGGATGTGATGGCACATGATTATTATTAATGACACAATGTACAGTGGGGTCTTGACTTGAGAACTTAATCCGTATTGGAAGGCGGTTCTCAAGTCAAAAAGTCTGCAAGTCAAGTCTCCATTGACCTACAGTGCATTGAAAACCGATTAATCCCGTAACAGGCCGTTTTTGTTCCATTTTGGTTTTTTTCTGGTCTGTAAGTCAAATCTCAGGCTGCAAGTCAAACCTAAATTTTGCGGCCAGAGAAGTCTGTAACTCAAAAAGTCTGTAAGTCAAGCCGTCTGTAAGTCAAGGGTCCACTGTAAATGTGACATGGTCAGAAGGGCTGGAATAAGGAAATTGTCTCTTGCCAGTAGTTGAGAGCAGGATTGGAGAAGTCCTGTTCCACTGGTTGAATTTGGCCTGGTACAACCCCCACCATTGTGCCTGCAGCTTGGAACCCTAGAGTTGACCTTCCCTTTCCCTCAAAGCCCCTGATTTCATCTTCTCTACAGCAGGGGTGGGCGACTTCCAGATGTCCAAGGCTGCAACACACATCCCAAGGCCAAACCTACCTGTTCTACTCCCTACTTTAGCATTCCTGTCCCCTATAATGAGAAGAACGTCTTTCTTTGGTGTCAGTTCTAGAAGGTGTTGTAAGTCTTCATACAATTTCAGCCTCTTCAGCATTGGTGGTTAGTGCATAAACTTGGATAACTGTGATGTTGAAAGGTCTGCTTTAGATTCGTATTGAAATCATTCTATCATTTTTATTATCATCATCATCATCATCATCATCATCATCATCATCATCATCATCATCATCCTCATCATCACCACCACCACCACCACCACCACCACTACTACTACTACTACTACTACTCTGGCCAGTTGTATGTCCCCTCCACCCCCCAAAAAGGGGAGATTGTTTTTACTCACTCAAAATAACTTTTTATTCTGAAAAAAAGATCGTCCCTGGATCTCGAAACTCCATGCAGAGGCGACATGTCAGAATTCCCTGTTTGCCCAGTAGAAGAGGAGCTGCTCGGGTTTCAAAAAAACAGCCACCACCTTAATTTGGTGGGTATAGGACTGTGGACCAAGAGAGGCTATACATGTGGCATTGGGAGCCATCCGTCAGTTATGGATGGAGACGGGCACAAACTGGTTCGTCTGAGTTCATCCCAGTTCGTAAAGGGGGCAGCACAAGCACAGCTGCTCCCCTCCTCTGGAGCAAACAGCCGCTCCCCAGGCTCAGTGTGTTGGCTTCCTGCCCCTCTTCAACTGATCTTCCAGACCAGGCAAGAGCTCAGGCTTCTTTGCCCCGCCCCCTTGGCTGGTCTCCCAATCAGAAAAAAGGGTGGGGCAGAGAAGTCCTTGCTCTTGCTCATGACTGGGAGATCAGCTGAGGAGGTGGGGGGGAAAACCAAGCCAGCTGGGCCTGGTCAATGGGACGAACCGGTTCGTGCCCATCTCTAGTTATGGGACACGTTTTGCCTATTTCTGTTGCAGAGTCTACTGCGAGGGAAAGGATCCGTCGGTTTTCCTGCTGTTTTGGTATAGCGTTCCAATCATCCCCACCCAACATGGCAAAGAAGAAGAGTTATATTGTATGAGTTATATTCCAGAATGTTTGGAGGGACAAAACTTTTGTACACCCAGTCTAAAACCCCTATGTGGAGAAGGGGTGGGTGGGTGAAGTGTCTACCGCCAACTGGTAATTTATTCCCTTTGAATGCTGGTAGGTGGTCAGTGTTTTCTGGCTACTTCCTGGAGCCTTGTGGACAAAATAAACAGAGGCTGTTACAGCTCTGGGATTCCCTGGGAAAAAAATCATCTTAACAGCTGCACAGACCTCAAAAACAAGATGTGGCTTTTTCAAGCACGAAACGTCAGCCACAAAGCTTCCACTTCAGCTGTAAAATATGCCACTACCATGACTTCAGGGGGAGGGCATTTGTTTCCATATAAACAAAGGGAGCGTAGTATTCCCTATAAACAGAAACACTAATCTAGTATAATATATATATTTTTACAGTCTGCATGCAATTACTGTATATACTGTTTACATGCAAGCAAAAGGCAATGTGATTAGCCTTGACAGAAGTAACTCTGGAGGTTTCTATTGATCCACAATGCAGCAATTGCTGTGTTTTTAGAAAACAAGTTGTTAAAAGCTGTTTACATGACTATGGCTCAGAGAAACACAAAATCATTGTGGTAAGAACTTATTCTTTGCAGGCCACGCCACCATTTTCTGAATCAGTGCAGCTTCTTGTGCTAAGTTTCCCACCCCTTTATGGGAGCTGCTTCCCATAGCTACATATCATGTACCACCCCATCTTCAATCTGAGCCCCACAAACATAACCCCCCCATGGTTTTGTTTTTAAAGGATTGCTGTAGTTCCAAACAGAGGCAGAGGTGGGAGTTTGATTCCCCACTGCGCCTCCTAGGAGAAGAGCCAGCCTGGGTGGCCTTGGGCCAGCTGCACAGTCCCACAGCGCCCCCAGTGGAAGGGAATGGTCAACCACTTCTGAGCATTCTCTAGCTGGAACCAACATGATGGCACACAATAATACATGCTGCTTACATACATACATCCCCAAAATTGAAGGTGCTGCATAGCCTCATCCCAAGTCATAGCTGTTTGCATTCTTTTGTTTATGGATTTTTTCCCCACTGCCAGAGATCCAGATATGCACCAATACCATCATGAACCTGGATAAAGATCAGGTTAGAGTGCTACCAAAATCACAGAGGCAAGCTGGACACCATTCTGCGGGCACTCATATATTTGGGCAACGGAAATCCATCCAGAAATGGATCTTTCCAAGTTCAACCTGCAAATACCAAGGATCAAGGATGAGATTTTGGGTTATGAGGCTGAGCTCTGCAGCCACATAGCAAGGAAATTCTTTAGAATAACCAGCTCTGTGAACCAGACAAAGCTGTGTCCTTCCATTGACTACCGTTGTGTTGCTTTTTGCAAGGGTC